TCAAATGCTCTGCAATAGAAGTACCCTCCTTATATTTAGAGTTCACAAGCTTTCGAAATAAAAAGGCTTTATTCACTGCCGTCTTTCTATCATACAAACTCTCCAATTTGGTCCAAAGACCATGTGCAGATTTTTCTGTAGAGACATGATGAAAGACACTATCATCAATCCATTGCCGAATAAAACCGACAGCTTTCCGGTCTAGCTTTTTCCACTCGTCATCTTTCATCCCTTCCGGTTTGCCACTATCACCCTCTATGGGTCCATTCAAATCTTTACAAAATAAAAGATCTTCCATTTTAGTTTTCCAAGTCACCCAATTTGTGTCATTGAAACTAACCATACGTCCAACGTTGCCGTCCATAATTCACACACAGAAATATAACGAATCGGAACCGAATTAACCAATTGCTCTGATACCAGATGTTGGAAAAAATAGGTTTTCCCACAAGTGTAAATCAATGGAAGCAATATAAATAAAATAACAGAAAATAAATAAGCACACAAGATTTACGTGGTTCCCTCAAATAACTTGAGGTACATCCACGACGACCGGTAGGTCAGTTTCTTCCACTATCACCAAATCAGATTACAAAGTGGCCAAAAGGCATAAGCCTTACAAACACACCAAGGTGTAAATCACAAGAGGAAAATACCTCACAAAATAAGTGAACCAAATCTCCAAGAACAAACCGCAAGAAACCCAAATATCAAGTGAAGAAATGTTACCCACTTGAAGAACAAATTTGCAGATTTTTCTGGCACCAAAAAGGAGAAGAAGAAGGCTGAATTTTTGTTGAACCAAAGACTGCCGAAAATATGTCTTCTTGCCAAACCAACAGAGAAGAGAAGAACCAAAGAAAAGGACAAAACTTATAGTCTTTGGTGGCTGCCAAATTCCTTTTAACTTGAAGACTCCAAACCAAGTCTTGGATAAGAGTCATACACGGGTAAGCCACCAAAAAATTAGCAAATTGATGAGTCCCACAAAGGAGGGAACCCAACAGCAATGAACAGTCTCTCTCTCTCTCTCTCACACACACATGCACGCATTTAGTCATACACAGATTTGAAAATAAGAAATCCCTCTCTCTCTCTCTCTGTAGATCACAAATCTGAGATCTCAGACGTGGTTTGTTGGTGGACAAACATAATATAAAAGGCTTGACAACAGTTGGAAAACAGAGAGTGAAGAAGAGAATTCTTGTAGAAAAATTAGAGAGAGTTGTTATCCAAAAATAGAGGCGGTGTGCAGCTTCAATAGCTAGTTTTTAAGGCTGTTGTTTTGAATGTCTTTTCTACTGGGAAACTCAGATAAGTCTTCCCTTCATATTCTTTGCTATTGTGTTGAAATTTGTGAAGAAATAGAAAACATTTGGAGAGTTATACGAGATGTATGCAATTAGACTTTTTACCACTATTTGTTTTGTATGTGATCTTGTTCTTTGTGTTTTGGTGAGGTTCCAGCTGCTATATGCCCAACAAATCTGATCTCAAATCTCAGCGAACCAGATCTTTGATTGGATTGGGTCCATTTTCGAAACTTCACTCTACCTTCGACGAGGTGGAGTCAAAAGCAGAATTGTAATAGTTTGAAGTCGTAATTGGATTAAAGAATTCACTCCAACTGAAGTTAGAGTCGAAGGTCGGATATGTGCCCTCCAACTCTATTGGAGTCGGAGCCCAGCCCTGCTCTCAAGTAGAGGGTCTATTTGTCAGAGGAAGGATGGAAAACATAAATCCCAGAAATAGTAGATCCATATCTAAATCTAAATGAAAAGATTTAAAAGAATTCTCAATGTCACAATTAAAGTTACTGGAAAGCGGAATGTCCAAATCGCAAGGCTAAGAACTGAAACAACAATGACAAGGTATGTAACTGTGTTATTGTTGTTGAAAAGAATTTGGATTATGCTGAAAATGTTTTGTCAATTTCGCCTTACAATGGAAGTATATCATATGGGTTGATTCTTGATTCTGGTTGTTTATACCACATATATCCTAATCGACATTGGTTTTCTTCCTACAAAGAAGTAAAAGGTGGCACCTCTCTGATGGGCAGCAATATTGCCTTTAAAACATTTAGGGACCAAAACATCAAAATCAAGAAGCATGATGGCATTGTGAGAACTTCAACGAGGCCAGACATGTTCTAGATTTAAAGAAAAACCTTATCTTGTTAGGTAGACTAGACTCCAATGGCTATAAGATTGCTGCACAAGGTGGAGTTTTAACGAGGTTCTTTGATCGTGATAAAAGAGAGTAAAATAGGAAATTTGTATCTACTATCCGACAAATATAATGACAGATGATGTAGCAGTGTATTCATCAGGATATATTGATTCAATCTCTACCCACTAATGCCAAATGTGTTTGGGTCATATGAGTCAAAGGGGATTAGATGTAATAAGGAAGTGAGGCATGCTTGGTAGCATCAAGACAACCAAGGTAGATTTTTGCAAAAATTGTATTTTTGGAAAACAGTGCAATATGAAGTTTATCACAGCTATCTAGCACATAAAAGTCACTCTTGACTATGTCTATTGGAATATCTAGCCCCTCACCCCACCCCCACCCCCACCCCCAAAGGATCTCTTAAGAGGATCAAGATATTTTGACTTCTTTATTAGTGAATTCTCACGTGAAGTATGGGTACACTTTCTGAAGAGTAAGATGAAGTTTTTGAAATATTAAAGAAGTGAAAGGTTATGATTAAGAAGCAAGTTGGTAGGAAGATCAAGCAATTATAAGGCGACAATAGTGGTAAGTACAAGTACAAACCGTTCTTGAAATTTTGTGAAGATGAAGGGACTTCAAGACATTTCATATAAAGGATACACCACAAGAAGATGGAGTCGTAGAAAATATAAACCAAACCGTATTAGAGATAGGATGTTGTATGTTATTCAATACTAGATTGGGTAAAGAGTTTTGGGTTGGGGCTCTTAAAATGACGTGCTCTGTTATCAATATATCATTGTCAAAAGCCATAGAGTGTGAAAATCCTCACGAACTATGGTTAAGCAAGCCAACTGATTACAATTTCATTAGATTGTTTGGGTGTCTAGCTTATTTTCAAGTTAAAGAAGGTAAGATTGACCAAAGAGTTAAGAAGAGATTTTTCTTCGGCTATGCATTGGAGTGAAGGGCTACTAATTATAGTGCCCCGGAGTGAAGGGCTACAAATTATAGTGTCCCGAATTGCACAAGTTTGTGATCAACATAGATATAACTTTTGATAAGTTTATTATCACTGCAACAAAAATCGTTTTTCACGACATTTTTTTTTTCATCGCTAAAGGTCAAAAAATCGTCATCAATTTTTTTTGCGACGTTTTTTTTTCTTTTTTGTCGCGTGTTTGTCGCAAAAAGTATTTTGCAACGTAATTTTATTTTTGTTGCAAAAAAATTTTTGCGACGAATTAAAAACGTCGCTAAATCTATTCCAACAATGTAAAAAAATAAAAATTAATAATTTAATTAATTTTTAGCGATGTAAAAAAATCATCTCAAATACTTTTTTCATAAATAAAAATGTAAAAAAATAATTTAATTAATTTTTCGCCACGTAAAAAAATCGTCTCAAATAATTTTTTTAATAAATAAAAAATGTAAATAATAATTGAATAAATGCATTCGCGACGATTTTAATTTCGTCGCAAAAAAATTCTTTTTTAAAAAAATAATATTCCAAAAAAAATTTTCACTTGTACACCAATAATACCTATGTTCAATAAAAAACTTACACAATTAATACATTTCGCATCTTTTTAAAAAAAAAACAATTTTATTTCAAAAAAGAATGAATTACAAGAATTAAAGAACATTAAGTTCTAAAAATAGAAAAAATGGCTTTAATCCTTTAAGAGGATTTAAACCATCTCTAATTACATTTAATGTCTCATATCAGCACCCAAGCCTCAAGCAAGCTCCATGCAACTGCTTCATATCCAACCACCTTCTCCTGATAGAAATAATTCATTGCTCCATGACAACCCAGATTTTTCAATCCAGCAACACAGACCAGCGTCCCAGTCTTCAAAAACAGGTTCAAATTATTCCTTATAGCTCTTTAATGCATTCAATCTGCCCCCAGTAAAATGGCCAAGTTCTGCTCCTGCTTCTGAGGCTTTCGTTTGTGTCAGAAGACTATTCAAATCAACACACCAAAAGACTACAAGTGTTCATTGCTAGAAATAATGGATATTTGGTGAATAATATGAATTGAAACATGTAGGCTTACCTGTACATGCACATTCTAAAACTAACAATTGCATTACGCAACAACACTGCCAAAAAAAAAAGCTACTATTAATGGCGATAAGATTTTGCTATAGGGAAGTAGCGCCCTGGTTTGGTCTGTAAAAAAAAAAAATTGCTTTTGCTAGAGTGTTGGTAGACAAACTTTTACAGATGTAAGGTAGAGGAAACTCCTGCATCACATTGCCTTGAAAAAGGACCAAACAATTTGTGGTGGGGGGAACAATATTTGTCCTAAAAGCAGAGGCAGCACCCAAGTTGAAGGGTTTTGCAAAGAGTCAAATGACATTAAATTTGAGAGCCAAGCTGTGACTCAAACTACATCCCAGAAACTTAGCAAGTGCCTAATCCAACAGCCAACAACTATGAACAAGATGGTAATGAAGAGGAAGTACATTTTTTTTTTGATAAGAAATACACTTTTATTAGTAACTAGTTGGTGCACACGTGCGTTGCACGTGAGCCATTTTCAAGTTAAAATCTTTGATTTGGTGTGTTGTGGCCTCCTCTAACACATATTGGTATCAAATGTTAGATTAATTTCTTAATACACATTCACACAATAACTTGGGAATCTGAATTTCTACATTGCATTACTTCTTTTATTTTGGCCTTAAGTGTTGTCATTGGCATCCAAACTTTAATGAAGCGATGACAGGATACAATCTTTGGCAAAATATACTAATGAAAGGAAAATAAAATAGGCTATTAATGTAAAAATAACCGAAAGCATATAGTAGGTTAAACATAAAGTGATTGCACAGAAGTCATTAAATAACTCATGTGATATGAATGTATCAAGTAGTAACTCATATATCAATGCTTGTATAATCGAAAGCTTAACCCAAAGCATACTATAGCAAAATCAATGCCTGTAATCTGATTATTTGCTCCGAAATCGGTTCCAACTTGAAAGTTTGGATTATATTGCTGCTTCTGAGATTCTAATTTTCCATAAAATCCTTCCAAACCAGGTTCTAGTAAGTGATTACCATCTATAGATTTCAAGTAAGGAGCCAATTCTGTAATGCAAGCCTAGAGAAAAATTACAATCAAGTAAATCAAGCAGCTTTTCATCAACTATCTTGAAATTAAAATAATGGCCAATCTAATAAAAGCAACCAACTCGTGCTAGTGCTTTGTTAAGTCATGTGAAGGGTGTAGGTAAGTTCACAGACCACACACACACACAGAGCAGAAGGTCGTAAATAAATGTTGCTTAGAATAGATCTCTAAGTGAAATGATGAGTAGACAAAAAGTAGCAGGAAGATGTTTCTGGCCTGTATGGTTTCCCTGATCGATCTGAAGTGCATTGAGGCTCATTCATAAGCTCCCAAGCCATTATTGTAGGCTCATCCTTGTAGGCAACTCTAGTCATGCTGTTTTTCCTTTTACGAACAGTCTATAAAAAAAAAAAGAAACATTGATAATTAGTTGAAATTCGAGTAGATATCAAGATTCTAATTCACAATGGCTAATTACTGTCTATATTTGTTGGGCTATGGAGATCACATTAACACTAACAAAATCAAGTCTGAAACTAAAACGCAACTCCTGCATGATTCTTCATCCTCCCTCCCCCCCCCCCCCCCACAAGCCCCTCCATTAAAAGAGTTAGAAAGAAAACCAAGCCTATTCAACAAGAACAAGATTTGAAATGTGTAAATATGTAAATTATGAATCACTTTGATATGATTTTTGTAGTATCCCTTCACCACAGAGTTTGTTAAGAAATCCTCATCAGAAGATAAGTACTGCCCCTGACTTCTTGCCCAGTCCACATACTGTGTCCTTCCTCCCAAATTTTTGTAGTTATTCACCAAGCTCAAAATTAGCTTAATCCCATATTTTCCAGCTTTAGAGATTGCAAAATCCAGTTCCTTCAAGAAACAGAAAAACCCAAAAAAGAAAAGGAGGCCAATAACAAAATAAGGTAAAGAGGCCAAATACTCAATGTTATGACAATATAGCTATTTCTTTTGCAAAAGTGATCATTTGCTAATATCTGGAATACTGCATGATTACATTTAAATATTTCATGAATAAAGAATCAAAAACAATATGGGTAAATAAACTAAATCACGAGCTTGGGTAAACGGAGAAAGATAGCCAATATAGCAGCATATAGGTAAAGGCAAGGTCTGCTAAAAGGCAAGGTCTGAAAGGGCAATCTCGGTCTATACAAATCTGCTGGGAATTCTTCTATTCTGTCTTTCACAGGAGGCTTTTGGTTGCTCAGCCTGTATCTGTCTGTGGCAGATTTTATGCGTGGATTGTTCTGCATCAGATTTGGGTAGAATTGGCCTCATCGTATCCATCTTCTTCATACTTCTGCGGTTCTGCTATTGATTGGAAGCTTGGAAGAGTTGGTTTTTAGCTAAGAGTCAATCAGCGGGATGCAGCAGCTGGAACAGTCACTGTTCACGTCACTGTTCATCTGCTGCCTTCAATTCATTCAAGACAACAGCTATGGCCCTCTGGTTTGATTAGGAAATTATGCTTTCTAGAATAGTTTTTAGTATTTCCATGTAACATCATGCATTAGAATTTTTTAATTCCTTTTGCGTTGTAATTAGATTGCATCGAGAGGTAAGATACATACGTCCCCCTTATCTAGGTGTAATTTATTTTTTTATTGGCGTCATGACTTCATTAAAAGTATGTACATTACCACAAGGCACTTCAGAAAAAGGCAAGGGCATTGATCTCTTAACATAATAGACTGTTGCTAATACATACCAACAACCCAACACCTCAAACAGCTAATATGACAATATTGGTACAATTGAGTGCACCTCAAAATAGACAGAAAAGTATACCAGAAAAGCTAGCCATTAGAAAAAAGTTATTAGTATATGGGGCCTGACGAATAACTTCAGCAAAATGATATATTTGTGTGTCGTTATGGCGTTACTTGCAGATAATGACTAATTATTCTAGCAATGTAACTGAATATCTTATACATGTATTAAACTCAATAAAATTTACCAAGTCCAAATTCACACTTCAATTTGAGAGTATTTGTTCCAACTTCTTAACAATTTGGTCTCACACCAACAACCAAGCCTATAAAAATTCATTTTCACATCTAATGTTCATAACTACCAGACCTTATACCTGTTTTCTGGTGCTTATTGTAGCTGCTAGGCGACAGCCAATGCATGCACTCAACCATGACACCATGAGCACCCGGGAAGTATTAAAAAATTCTTAGTCCAAGAACCAGCAACATAATTTTATGGTTCCAAGAATAATAAAGAGAAAGAAGATGATGTCACCTCAAATGCATTCTTTAAAAAGTCAAGTTCCTTGTCCAAATCATTGATAGCCTGATTATATGCCTGCATTGGAGATGACTGGCTAGTAGTGTGAATCTGCAATATCCCAATCATTCCGTTCATTAGAAGCATACATTACACAATGCATTCTGCCATGATTCGCCAGTTTCTATAACCTCAGACTAAGGAGAGAAAAATTTCAACAAAAAACATACTGCAATAAGAACAACTGTTAAGGCACAATAAATATTGTTCTAACAATTTGACTTATCAAATAAAGCTCCATCCATCTGATTTCAAAACTCTTATTCAGCACAAAAATAGTTTCAAATTAAAATTCGATGCATAAACGAAGCCTGAGCAACCAATTATAATGAACTGGAACAGATCAGCTGAAAAATGGAACCAACATAACAATACTCTATTTATTTGCCCAAAATCACAGCTTTGTGGACAAACCAAATTGACCCATTGACTCAAGTTAGTAGAAAAAACTACTATCTTTTTCTTCTCTTTGAAGGAGCTACTACCCGGGATTACCTACTCAAACGCATGTTCAAACATGGCTTACTTATATTCTACCACACTCTGAAAGGAATCCAAATCTTATAAATTTTCTCATAATTTTTAGTTTTAATGAGGCAAAACATCTAGAATAATTATTTCCCATTCTGTCTGATTTTAATGAGGCAAAAAATCCAGAAATTACCAGCTTAAATCAAATAGAAGAAAAAAATTTCTTGATCTCATGCCTTGTCGGCATAAGTATAGAAGTCAAAGTGATAGACAACAGAAAACATGGTTCTTCAAGAATCAATGATGGGTTCTGCTGCTGAGAGCCTTCTTAAAACTATATCTGCAACTACAAGTCTCATATCAAAAGACACAAGGAAATAAAGAATTCAACTTCTATTAAGACGCCAATCCAATGTGGGCTACAATCTCATGTCACTAAGAATTTCTAAACTAACAAGACTATCACGAGCTGTAAACTTCATATATAATTTGGGTCCAACTCAAACATGGTTCCTACCTAGCAAGTACAATATCATATCACCCAAGAATACGTAAGAATACATATCTATCTATTAAGGCACAATCATGTATATAAGCTAGATGAGTATTAAAACTACAAGAAATCAACAGTATATCAAAACCCAAAATAGCATTTATGAAAAAGATAGTTTTAAAAAAAAATCTTCGTGGCCCACTTAGAAATTTCAAAGCAACTTCCGTTCAAACAAGATAGTTCCTCTCTCTTAAAGTGTATACACTCTCCCACTTTGTAGAAAAATGGATTCCTATGTCTCTTGTTTTTGGCTTGAAAGGGCTTTGAAATTTGGGTTAACAGTAGAATACATTGTATCAGAAAAAGTTACCACCTGAAATCCAACCATTTCCTCCAACACCAAGATCCTCCACCTCCAAATCCAAAATCGAAAGCCAAATACAAATATAGAGAAAGATTTTAAGTGCGATTTGAGGTTTTCTATGGTTCAGGGTTGCGACAATCAGGATTTGGAGTGGCTACCCAAAACGGTTTCTATGTATCTTGATACGGAAGGAGTTTGTGGCTGATAGAAGGAATTTGGTTGGGTAGTGGTGGGAGACGATGGTGGTAAATGGTGGTGGAGAGAGCGAGGGAGAGGAAGCTAATAGAGCAGAGAGAGGGGGCGAGACTTACCTGCTCGCTGGAAGACAGTGGCAACGGCGAGAATAACTCGAACCCCCCTTCACTTGATCTCCATTGAATGCTGTGTGCTGGGACTTTTCTGAAATATCTTATGACGAAGACACGTATTCTCGATTTTACTAAAACATTGTTGTTAAGATTAAGCACCATCGGCGCACGAATGTCCTCGCCTCCGAGGTACCGTCATATAGGATCATGCATTCAGTATATTTTACAACCGACACATGGCCTCGGTCTGATATGTACCTCGGTCGGCATACCTCCCTCGGTCCCCGAGATGAGCCTTTCCTCGGTGCCGAGAGGTACCCCGTCCTGGACGCTTCCTCTACTCCAGGATAAGCTATTGACATACAGGTCATTAGCCTAGGCTAGTCTAGGCTATTCATCATGACCTCGTCTTACACAAGTAATGTCAGAACGTATTGGAATACAGAGGTCACAGCCAGTAGGGGATGGACGCGTGGCATATGATATCACATCGAAGACAGACAAATCGCATGTCGTTGCTGACACGCGACTTGGGAAAGCAAACAATTAATTGCACCATTCCCTTGATGAGACCGCATTCAATGCGGTAAGGTTCGGAAATGAAAGGCAATAAATGCTCCTAATACAGAGCATTTATTGCATCCTCCCCGAGAGGAGTACATTGTACCGTCGGCGTCCCGATGGCACATCATTGATTGCTCGGGACCCCGAGCAGTTAAGAAGAGAAGACATTCTCATCACAATCAATGTGCACGCTACCTGTGCCTAATGATCACATACTGACCACACTGACAGCAATCATGAGCTTTTAAGGTATAAATACTCCTTGCAAAAAGCAAGGCGGGTATGCAACAACAAACTCTTTACTACAATACATTCTCAGTGTTTTCTCCTTCCTCTCTCTTTCTAAAAGACTGACTAGATCGTCGGAGGGGATACGCCGGAAAACAC